TTTTTCCCATGTTCAAAGGGTTAGAGAGGATCCCATATCCCAATCCAGGAGGCTAGAAGCGTGCTAAAATTGTGACACACTTTCACTGGCTTTATTATCAATTATGGTTGGTTTGGTAAAACACAGTTAAATACGACAGAACTCACGGCAAGGTGTAGATCCAGACGGAGGGTGGGTTTCCTGTGGGATCCACAGATTTGGGATCCAAACCAGCTTTTTGCTTGGGCTCCCAGAAGCTGTACACACCCTTTGAACCAAGATTGTACTCACTTAGATTTGCAGTGAAGGGGCCAATTCCTCCTCTTGGTGCCTTTTTCTCCAAATCACCTCCTCTTTCCAGTGATTACGACACCCCTCATCCACTGCTGGCTGCAGAGCATCTGGGTTCACACAATAGGCTGTGTTAGACCCACAGGCAACGAGGTAGTTGTGGGTCAGCGGGTTGTGGGAACCCCTCCCTGGCCTTAACCTGTGGCGGCCACCGCTGTGCTCTACATCGCCCAACACAGTTATTTCATGACTGAATTCCATTTGGACACTGTCCGACTCCAACCGGCTCTGGGTAGTTCACAATTATAATGCCATAAAATCACCACCAACCCAAAGAAGGTGCGATCCAGGCTTAATATACCAACAAATCCACCAGCCGCTTTTCACCCCACTTCCTACTTTCTCCCGAGTTAGGAGGTGGTTCCTTGGGCTTGGACGATGAACTATGTACAAGATGTTGGATGTACAACTATGTACAGGATGCTGGAATCTGGATTCTTGCAATGGGGGGGGGTTGGACTGGTTGGCCTCGAGGGGACCATCCCACATTTCGGAAAGCAGTAAGTCATACATCGGTGGTCTCCCTTGCTGGGGGCTGGAATTCAGCTTGCCTTCCTCTTCCTCCCCCAGGTCTGGAATGGGTGCCCACCAAATACCGGGCCATGGTGGTGTCCATCCAGAGCTACTGCAGCACAGCTGGACAGGTGCTCCTGGGAGGCTTGGCGTATGCCATCCGCGACTGGCGCTGGCTACAGCTGGCCATCTCGGCCCCATTCTTCGGCTTCTTCGCCTATTCCTGGTGAGGCCCCAGTCCTGCCTTCCGGACATGAGTTTAGCGGTGAAGACAACAGGTCCCAGATGTTTCTGGAGCATCAGGTCCTATTTCTCCAGGGCGCTAAGTGGGTTGCGGGTCCTGCCCTAAGTCCCAGCCTGCTTGCTAGCTAAGTGGTATTAGTGCTACAGTAGTGTTTCTCACCCTTGGCCACTTGAAGATGCGTGGACTTCAACTCCCAGAATTCCCCAGCCAGCCAG